TTGCAGGTTCTAATGTACTCTTTTTTCTTTTAACCGGTCCATCATAACCCAAGACAGATGTTTCTTCTCCTGCTTTAAGGGTAGTGCTACAGATGTATGGCAACTTAATATCTACCCATCTGCTATGGCTCATTAGTAAACTCACACATGAATGGGGACATTCTCTATCTTCATTGCAGCCTGCTAGTGCTCCTCTAGTGTGCTTGGCTATTATAGGTTGCTAAGCAATAATCCTAGTGCTTGCATTGTTCCCACTGATACACAGAATGGAAGTAGACATGTGTTGGGTTACATCTCTAGTCAAACACTTCCCTCTTAGAGCCATGACACCAAGAAAGGAAAAAGAGGTACAGCAATATCAGAGTCAATAAGTGAGGTCTGAACAAGCCTATCTGAAGCTGTCTTTTGACAGAGTGGCCTCCGAATTCAAGGATCACAAATTAAGGCACTGCCCCAAGGACAAATTAATTCAGAGGTATAATTGAATATAGTTTCCAACAGGTACTGGGTTGTTATTTTTTAGCAGGTATGTTCTCAGACATCCCTAAACCTTTTACAGATTGATTCATTCATTCATTTATACATTCATTAAATAATTATTGATTTCTCACATGTGCCAGGTACTAAGCACTGGAATTATTTTTCAGGATCATCTTCCTAAACTCTTCCTAGAATTAAGAGCCTTTCAAGCTCTCCTCCAACATGTACACCTTCACCCCTCTACTAGTCCACCTTCTAACGTACAAATACCTATTTGGGCACTATGGGCATAAATGCTTTCAACTAAATAAGTAGGGACACAAAAGAATTCCTTATTCATATTTTGAAAAGTCTAGACTTATAAGTGACTTCTATCATTTCCTGCTTTTAGTACATGGCCCACTGCTAGGCACAGACACAGTACAAAACCTATTTAAGGACATAAATAGGAATGAATTTTAATCCACATTATAATAAGCTTTAGCGGGCTCTTTCTTCACAGGGAGACATATAACATTAGTGGGACTCGCTGCTGATTAAACTGGTGAAAACTGACCCAGCAGAGCTACTCAAGAAGCTGTATGAAGTTATCTTTAAACATAGGCCCTTTCTGAAACAACCTTATCCTTGTTACTGAGATTTCTTAATATTTGCACATAATGTAGAATTCTGTGAAAGGAGGAAAAGAAGCACTATTAAACACTACTGGAATTAAAATTCGATAGCTATAGGAAAAGGCAGTTTCCTACAAAACTATGTTAATCTTAGGGCTGTGTAATAAGAACTAAGCTGAACAAACTGATAGTTTAAAAAAATTCTCAACATGCAAGTTAAGCTCATAGCCTTAAAAAGTAAAATAACCAGGGGCCGGCCTGGTGGCGCACTGGATAAGTGCGCCACTTGGGAAGCGCGGCGGCGCTCCCGCCCGAGGGTTCGGATCCCACATACAGACCGGTTCCCGCTCACTGGCTGAGCGAGGCGCGGGAGCAACACCAAGGGTTGCAATCCCGTTGCCGGTCCCCGGCCCAGTACGGGGGCAACACTGAGGGTTGCGATCCGTTGCCGGACACGGAAAAAGACAAAAGACAAAAAAAAAAAGTAAAATAACCAGGGAAAAGAAATAAGGAGCTGACATAGTACATTTAACCACAGTATTATCTATGCAAAGACATGTATTTGAACTCATTATGGGAGCTGCTTGGCAAGGTAACACGACTTTAATTTTGACAAGTATATAACAAGGATAAAGACAATTCCTTTGATATGTTGAAATTGAAATAACTATTCCTTTTCCCAATTCTTATACACACACATTCACAAAGGGGGAATTCGGAATATAAGGTTTAATAGTGACCAATCACTGAATAAATGAGTATACTGCATAGCATTTGATATCACAACAAGCAACCACAATGTTTTCATATTATACATTGGGATGAATAAACTTAAACAAAACACACTTCCCTCAAGCATACATCAAAAAGCAATAAGAGAAATTGAAAGTACAAAAGTAGGAAAGACCACAAACTTTTTTTGCTCAATATGTTTCCTGGGGAGGCAATAAATTATATATAATAGAATACATATGTGAATTTTGAAGGTGCAAATTAGGCCACAAATTGATGAAAGTGAACACCTACTTAAATTTGTTTAGCTAGATAACAATTCTGTTTGGTATGTTTAAAATGAAAGAGTTAATTTAAAAATCTGGGCCAAGAAATTAAAGGTAAAGTATATGTATGTGGTATTGGTGGTGGAAGGTTAGAGTGAGGAGGAATTAAAATCAGAAAACTAGGGGGAGGGGACAGGTGGAGGAAGACGTAAAGATTTGCAAGAAGAAAATTTTTAAAAGTTAGTGAAGCTACGAAAATAGTACTAAGTTTACAAGAATGACAAAATGAGTGTTGAAAAGTTTGGTTCTTAATGTGTATGTATTATAGTGTATATTAATAAGAAGAAAGTAAATAATTTCTCTTAATTGGTTTAAAAGACAGAAAAACTCTTTGGAAAAAAGTAAGCACCTAAAAATTATAACTAGCATCTATACAGCAACTTATAGTTTAGAAAATAATAATTACTATTGTAATTCAACCTAGCCCAGCCTAGGACATACTAACCACCCAACACTTGAAAATTAAAGGGAATTTACTGTGAAACTGTTACATTTTTAATATTGTAAAGAATTTCTGTCAGTACCAGATTTCACTAAGTATTCAGAGTTAGAAGAACTGTAGTAAAAGAGATGAATGCCTTGTCCACTTATTTGTTGCCTTTTTGACCCTGTAAAATTTAAATCTGCATAATTTTGTGGAATTTGGGTTAAGGATGGTGCTAGGAGTCAAGTTTCGGATCAAACAGAATAAATGTGTGGTCAAGTACAGGAATAAAAAGAATAAACAGGACCAAGAACAATAAGCAGTCCAAATCACTTGAATTCTTTGTTTAATTTTTGTATTAATAGGTTGTCTGCTAGGTGTCAGTCGACTCTCTTAGCTAAATTTTCTCTTTAATTAAATACAAATAGTCACAAATTACTTTAAAAGTATTAATAGAAGGTTAAGGGAATACATTTTAAACTATTTTCCAAATTGCACTTAGAATACTCCCACTGATTTTATATTTAAAATGCAAAATCTTGAAGAATGCATTCACAATGACAATGTAATGATGGGTTTAGATTCTATGGAATAGGGGAAAGGCTAGTTCTCTACCTTGGGATTTGATTTCATCCGTTGCTTTTCCCACCACATTGTTGCTGGTCTCTATTTCAGAAATGACTGGTACATTCTGTGAACTCTTTGAAAGGAGAAAAGAAATACCAATTGCAAAGGAGTTGCTTTTACTCAAAGTTGTATAAACTCTCCCAGTTAAAGGAGAGTTGATTGCCTTGTAGAAGTTAACCAAACATTCTTACTTTTCCTAGGATTTAATGCTGTGTATTAGTAGTGAAACAGTAATCAGAGTCTATTTACTGCGTTTACAAGATAAAATGAATTGGCTCAATGTGTCCTCACATCTTCCTACTGCTAACAAAGTAATATGATAGGAATATGACTTTATATGTACATTAATCCTTGAATTATACAATACTTCACAGAAACATAATTTAAGACCATAGTATAATGCAATCAGACCTTTGGAAATGCTACTGTTTTCTTTTACTACTAGAATCGCCTTCCATGTTTGTGGTGGAAAGAAAAACACTTCATTTTAATTGAGAAAATTAAGGGTTAATTTTACAAATAATGGTAGCAAAATAGTTCTTTGTACTCATGCTGGTGTACTTTTAAAAAGTAATAACAGAATATTTTTAAGGCTCACATTAGTCAACTTAACGGTAAATTCATATAACTATTTTCAATTGCCTCCCCTTTTCTATAAAATGTTCTTCCTCATTGTAGTCTTGTATTTATTTAAACACAAAGTTACTTAAATGATTAACATGGAAATTAGACTTTCATTATGATAATGGTTAAAAACTGGTGGTTACTGTAGTTAGGGTAATAGTTCTGATTTTAGAAAGCAACCTTTATTTACATGGAATTCGTAGTAGCGCTTCACAAATAATTTACCTGTCTATGGAAGCTTCCTGCAACTGACTCAAATGTGCCAGCTTAATAATCAACATGAATTTTCCCTTTTTCATTTGCCATTTTGTTTATCTTTTTGAATAGCCACATCTTTTCTTTCTTTATAAGAAAATTAACTTGTCCAGTTTACTCTCAAGAATTAAAACCTGAATATTCATGACAACTCTACCTCAAGAGGCTCTTTCTCTTCAGCTGAGTCCTGTTTCCTTTCTATGTCTTCTTTTCCATTTTCCTGAAATAGAAACAGTGTTAGCAAGTGGTTTTCAAAAGGAGCTGGGGATTAAACTAACATCTTACACTCTAATATAGCAAGCTTTTAATGTAAAAAATTCACATGGTAAGTAAATATCATACCAAATAAAATTAAACAGTGTATGAACAAATTTAGGCAGTAACAGACTTGTTATATATAGTTAAGGAATGCTATCCAACTAGAAGCAGGTCACTGTGAACCAACTATTATTTTGACCCCTTATTTTTCAGCATTGCTGTCAAAACCTGATGTAGAGTACTTCAACTCAAATAATATATTGCATCTCAATTTTCCCAAGAATGTTGATCTCAAATCCTCTCATAAATGGTCAAAAAACTGTGTAGGACAAGAACCTGAGCAGGATTGGGTTCCTCTTGAGGTACTGATTCATTCATCTGGATCACTAAAAGATACCACCAAATGGTATGGAAAAGTATTACCAGGCCAGAATTAATAACGAAAGAGAGAAAGAAAATATTAATAAGCAACAAAAAGTACTCCAGAAGATCAAAATCTCCCTCACCCAACCCCTCCCCCCAACACCAAACCATTCTATTGAACGGTAATAAGTTCTCAACTGCTGAACTTTTCAAACTGTACTACTGTTATTAATCTGTTGTTACTGACCAAACCTAGATTGGTGATAGGCTAGGGCTCAGGAAGATAAGAAAACTTACCATAGTAATCATCACCATTATCATCTAAAAAAAAAAAAAAAAAAGCACAGTAATGCAATTGGGATTAAAGGAATTTTAACATTATTTATCATCATTAATTTTTGAAATAACAATCAAAGTGAGGTAAAGTGAAACTTTGATGGCTACCTAATTCATATTAGAAAGGTAGGCAGGCAATAGAAATATAATCTTCCTAAAAAGCATTTTTTGGTGGGGGAGAATTCTGAGAAAATATGATTTATCTGTTTACTTACTTACTCATAATAAAGAATTGACATCGATAATTATCAGATCCCACTTCACTGCAAATGACTGTAGATTCAGTCACAAATTATCAAATCACTGAAGTACCAAAAATAATTTAAGAGTTTATATATATATGGGCTAGGTAGTATGTAAAGACTAAATTATATGCACATAGTCCAGGACAGTTACAATCTATGGACTCTTTAAAATATATATAATGCTCAAGAGTATTCACTTTTTTTGTGTGTAAATCAACATAACACATGTTCTAGTTGAATAAACCAAAAGTACTGCCTTTGGAAACAACAGATTCCAATACTTAAAAATAGCTGCCTCAAAGTTCTTTTGAAATCATTCATAAATAATAAATAATGTAATATAAAATAGATTTCTGTGATAGGTCCCCACTGTACATTCTCAAAGTCTGCTTTCTTTGTTTATGGTGCTCATCTCCTGAAATTGCAAAGAAGCTTCCTTCCATTTCTTTTAAAATCTGTTTTGTTTGGATGCACCCGGATAAATTCAACTCAAATAAACCTTTATTGGGTGCCTCCTATATGCAGGCGGATGTTGGGGTTAAAAAAAAAGATTATGATCTGCCTTTGAAGAGTTCCCAGTTTAGTGAGGGAAAAAGATGCAATGCAATCTGCTAAGTGAAAAGGTAGAGGTACATACAAAACATTAAGGAACAAAAAAGAACAAACAATTAATTTTCCCAGGGCAGTCAGGGACATTTTCACAGAGAAATAGATTTCCAAGCTGGATTTTGCCCAGTAAGAAATTTTGTGTAAAGGAGAGAGGAAGTGTATTTGAAGCAAAAGAAACAATATAATCAAGGGTATGAAAGTTCAAAAAGTGTTTGAAGCATTCATGTAGCAAAACATAGTTATGTAAAAGAAAGTGGCAGAAGGAATACACCTGAGGACCTCAGCAGCCAAGGGCAGCCCCTCCCAACAGACAGCAGAAGTGTGCACAGGGACCTCAGGAATCCAGGGCAGCCCCTGAAGCTGCTGCACACAACACTGCCATGCAGGTGGTCCGCCAAAACCACCACCACAGCCACTGTGACTGCGAGGGTGGCTCACTGCCACAGCAGCAGCCACCACCACCACAGACAACTTGACTGCATTGACACAGGAGAGTCACCAGTGGAACCCAGGGAAAGAGGTGGGCAATTGCAGATGTGTGATCCAGTGGCCAAAACCCACAGGGGGAATTATGCTGCCACATGTTGTAGCACACCTGGGTTTTGGAGGTACATGCACAGCCCACGTGACTACTTTGAGCTGGGGAAAGACACACATGGAACCCCCTGAGAGTGCAGAAACCCGGCATACCCAGACAGAGTAAGAAAGAAAATTCCAAATCACCACCAAACTATCCACCAACTGGCAGAAAGCAAGTTATCCAGGAGGAGGCTCTGCCTGTAGGACACAGGAAATGTGATACACCAATCAATAAAATCTAGGCCAAAACCCAAACGATTATCTCAATAGATTCAGAAAAAGCATTTGACAAGATTTGACAATGCTTCATGATAAAGAATATCAGCAAATTAGGTATAGAAGAAAAGTATCTCAACATAACTATTACCAGCACTGGACAGAATAAAAGCAATATAAGAAAACCCACCACCAATATCATCCTGAATAGGGAAACGTTGAAAGCTTTTCCCTTAAGAACAAAAACAAGACAAGGATGCTTACTTTCATCAAATCTATTTAACACAGTATTGGAAGTACTAGCCAGGAACAGTGTATTGTGGGATATATGAGAGTATTCAAAAAGTTTGTGGAAAAATAGAATTAAAGGATAATACAAATCTCTCTATGAACTTTTTGAAGTACACTCATATAACATATGTAGAAGCATGCTATTATCTGGCAATATGTAATAGCATAAAGAATGGGAATGAAGAAATGGAAATATATTGTTGGAAGTATATTTATGCTGTAAAGTGGTATAACATTATGTAAAGGTAGACTATGATACATTAAAGATACATATTGTAAGCCTCAGAGCAACCACTAAAAAAAATTAAAGCAAAACAAAGAGATATAACTAATAAGTCATTAGTACAGATAAAATGAAATAATAAAAAACAATTCATAAGAAGGTAGGAAAAGAAGAAAGGGGTATCAAGAACAGATAGAATAACCTATGCATATCAATAATTAAACTAAATGCCAATGGTCTAAACACTCAAATTAAAAACCACAGATTGTTAGAGTAGATTAAAAAAGAAAAAAACATAATAATACTCTTTCTATAAAAATGTACTTTAAATATAAATACACTGGGCCGGCCCGGTGGCGCACTGGAGAGTGCGCCGCTTGGGAGTGTGGCGGCGCTCCCGCCGAGGGTTCGGATCCCATGTGGAGACGGGTTCCCGCTCACTGGCTGAGCGTGGTGCGGGCACAACACCGAGGGTTGCGATCCCGTTGCCGGGCAGTAAAAAAAAAAAAAAAGGAAAAAATAAATAAATATAAATACACGGGGCCGGCCCGGTGGCGCACTGGAGAGTGCGCCGCTTGGGAGTGTGGCGGCGCTCCCGCCGAGGGTTCGGATCCCATGTGGAGACGGGTTCCCGCTCACTGGCTGAGCGTGGTGCGGGCACAACACCGAGGGTTGCGATCCCGTTGCCGGTCAGTAAAAAAAAAAAAAAAAAAGGAAAAAAAAAATAAATAAATATAAATACACTAAAATAGGTTAAAAGGAAAAAAGGAAAAAGTTATATCATGCAAATTTAAATCAAAGGAAAGCTGGAATGGCTGTATCATATCAAGCAAAGTAGATTTCAGAAAACAGAATATCACCAGAGAGCCTCCATGGCAATCCCAAAATAATCTTTTATTTCTGGTAGTCACAGAATCAATATTGGTAAGATAATAATAATAATAGTAGTAGCAGTAGTAGTAATAGCAGTCTAGTAGCAGCAGCAGCAGTAGTAGTAGTAGTGATAAGTGGTAGTAAAATTTAACACAAAATTTAATTATGTGAGCTGCAGAATTATAATGTTAATTGAATTCACAGCCTAGCCAAGTTACTCATGTGAAAATAGGAACACTGATTGGGAAGAAGGGGGACCGTGAAATGTGGAATAGGAACGTTTAGCTGGACTAGGAGACTGAGATTCTCAAACTCCTGAATCACTCTGACCCTCTCTTGCCAGTAGAAACAGTTTGTCCTCCTGTATTTGAGGAGACTAGCCTTCTCTTAATTGGAAATCTTGTAATTATCTCATCTGGGGCAGTTGCCTTGCAAGGAGATGCCATTTTCCTCAAGACCCACCCCAACCATCACTTACTGCTAGTAGAGTCACAACTAAAATAAGATCTCAAAATATTCCAGCAGAGAAAATGTTAATCTGACCAGGAGCAAACAGCTTTTATATCAAAACAATTTCACTATTTGCTTATATATCGGCAGAAACCAAGGGAATATGTGTGAGAGTATATCATAAGGAAGTTAAAGCAAGGATGGAATATAATACTGGATTGAGCAGAATTTATTGATATGGGTACATTTATCAGAAATTATGGATTTAATTGTTAGCATACACGCTGGAAGTGACACTATTTACTTGGTAAGTTCACTGAAACTTGGACTCCATGGTGGCTTATAAGTTGAGATACCAGAACGTCCCTGGCACAATGGAATTATTCTAAAGGCTTAGGGAAATAGAAATGTTGGAGTGGATTTATCACATAAGATCTGCACATCTGCTTCCCTTTCAAATGTATCTCTCAAGAGGACTTAGGGGACACCCCTTTACTAAGGCATTGAGAAATACATTAGTGAGTGGGAACACTTGCATCCTTGAAAAGGTCTGTGGTGGCTTTCTTCTGCAGGCTAGGTATGATGGTAGGAGATGCCACCACTGAGATGGACTTCTTGGTGTTAATAAGGATGACCCATTTCAGAGTAGCAGAGGCCAAATGTCAGTGTTTAAGCATCAAAGACAAGATGGGCACATTTAGCATAAAGAGAGCAGAGTTATAGTGGTAATTACATGTTTCTGAACCTCAGGAATCTTTGTCACTAAATGATTATCGTGTTCCAAGGAATAAAATGGATGGCCAGCTTACCAAAGTGGTGATCATCTACATATAATATTTCTAAAAAATCCATATATGGTGGCCCAAGATATAACTTTAGTCACCACAATAGAGAGTTCCAACCTCTCACCCAGTTTCTTAAGTGAAAAGAATGCTGGGTCCCTTTGAGAACTCTGCAGCACTGTCATTAGTATACACTGAAAATCTTCTCCAAATCTTTTCCACAGAGACCTGTGGCCATTTTTTAGGATGACTGTGTGCTGGGGAAAAGAAATATCCAGGTTTTTCAGGGACTTCTAAATACTGGTTCTAAACTGATGTTAATTCCTGGAGACCTAAAATACCACTGCAGTCCACCAGTTTAAGTGGGGGCTTGCGGTGGCCAGGTGGGAGATGAAGTCTTAACTCAAGTTTGAATCACAGCAAGCAATGGAACCACTGTGGTGATTTCATCAGTTCCTGAATATATGATTAAAACAGAGATACTGGTAACTGGCAGAATCTCTATATTGGCTCTCTGATTCTGGAACAAGGACTACTTCAGAAGAAGGGCCAAGTTGAAACCCTTCTCCCACCCCATATACATACATACCAGGATAGTAAACAGAAAAATATAGGTTCCCTGAGGTGAGAGAATGGGGAATTAAAGAGATCAATGACACCAATAAAGATCTGAAAGAAGCAGGGTGATGAAAGCTATCTCATGCCAATTTATCTTGCCTGTTTGGCCTGTGAAGGTGAATGGATCTTGAAGAATGACAGTGGCTTATAAATTTAATCAGGCTCTACTTGCAGCCGCTCTCCCATATGTGATATCTTTTATGGAGCAAATTAACACAGTCCCTGGCACCTGGTATGCATCTATTGACTTGCCAAATACTTATTTCTCCATTTAAATTGTCAAGGAACACCAGAAGCAGTTTGCTTTTATTTGGCAGAGCCAACAACATACCTTTACAGTCTTGCCTCAGGGATACATCAATTCTCTTGCTCTCTACCATAATATAGTCCACAGAGATATTGAGCATCTTGACCTCCCAGTCAACAGCACAGTGATCCATTACATTGATGACAGCATGCTGATCGTATGTGCGAAAGGAAGTAGCAAGGTCTTTAGATGTCTTCATGAGATACATGCATACCAGAAGATAGGAGCTAACATCCATCCCTGGTATCACTTTCCATATCACTCAAACGCCAGGTATTAAATTATCTCACCTCCAAACTCACCCACTTTTATTCTTCTTTGATGCTGGAGCTAGTACTCTAAAAACAACATTTCTTTGCCTTGCCAGCTGGCTCTGTTATATTCTTCTAAACGGGGGCATCAGAGGCAGGTCCCAAGGCTGAAGGAAGGATGAGAAACTTGCTCCTTCTTGTCTACCTCCACACTGCTTCTTGCAGACTATTGGTTCCCGTGTGCTTCACATAGTAATGCTTCTTCATCTTGATAGCATTTCCTTTTTGTAGTAATAGCTGAACCCAGTTTGTCATTTTTCTATAGTTCTGTAGATTTCATTGAATCAAAGACACCAACACCAGCCAGCCAGTGCTCCTGCCTCACAGGCCTGGGTCCCATACCCTTGGGTTCCATGGAGCACCTTCTGCAAGCTCAGAGACACCAGCTGAACAGCACCTTCTCTTTAGAGACCTGAGTCTCAGCTCTGTGGAGCCATTCCTGTAAGTTTCTGACTATACCCCTTTGCTTTCTCTGTGGTTATTTTTTTTTTTCAGCCCAAAAGGTGGTAACAGTTGCTATCATATATTACCTTAGACTTATCTTTTTACCTTTTTAGTCACCTACTTACCAATTCTATATCTAGTTAACAATTCTTTGTTAAATTATCTTTGCAAATAACTAGTGTGGTTTTTATCTCTTGTCTGGATGCTGACAGTTAAATGAAGTCAGTAAAAGATTATTAAAATTTAAGAAAAATTACAACTAGGGGGAGGCAACAGATGTCTCAATCATACTCCAGTCACTTTTAGCTCTTATGTATTCCATTTGTGCTACATTAATTTATTCTTATAACTATGCCTGTCATTTCAAATATAAGGTATCGGATTATCAAGGATAGTACTGTAATTTTTGTTTGTTTGTTTTACCTACATCTCTTTTTTTCTTGCTCTCTTTCAACAAGCTTAGCTATACAAACTGTAGCTTTTCTTTTGGTGTGTGATGAGTTAACAGATATACTGCAAGGTAGTTATCTAAGAACTAGAGTGGTTGGCACCTCTAGGTAATTGACTCCTAGCCAGAAGCAGTATGATCTAGGGATTCCCAGGGAGCAGCTCCAAAGAATCAGAGTCATGACCCCCCTCCCCAGTATGTCCCATGGTCCCACTGGTGGCAAGCACAATGAAGTACTTAATGAGCAAAGCCAAGGAGTATCCTACCAGTGCATCACTTTCAGAAGCCAGTTGCAGTTCATATTGCTGCCCATCATAAACTTGAGCCTTGGAACTACTGGAAGAGTGCATGTTCTAGGTGGCCAAGGAGCAGGACTCAGCCTCAGGTGTAGCCAAGAAAGGGAGGGAAGCCTGTCAGATGCTCCTGATTAACTCAGATCCCAATTCCTCTCTTCATATGTATTGAATTCTTCCCTTTGTATATGTTTGATGTGCCTTTTTAGTTATGTCCACGTTAGCTGCAGAATTATTGCTCTAATAACACAGTCATATACTGCAAATTAGAGCTTTGTCATTATTTCACAATATATACTTGATATAAAAAGTATTCTAAATCTAGTCACATTATCACAAGATATTTCCATATTACATTTTCCTGTGGTAAAAAAGAGCTATGAGTCAAATGTAATTTATACTTGTAAATTTTGAATTGTTGTGAAAATTACTTTAAAATTTATCACTTTCTTATATAAACTAAGTTCTCATCAATAATGACTAACAAGAATTTGAAGAAATTATTCTTACACTGTCTTGTTCAGGAACTATGGAGTTATTTCAATCATAAAACCCTATATAAAAAATGTTATGTTTACAGAAGCAATATCAGGTTTTTCACTAAATTTTTGAGAAGACTGTTCGGAACTTATACGAATTCAATATTTAATATCATCCTTAATATGTTTATTTTTCTCATTAAAAGTATGTAATATAAAGAAAACAGCTTATTTAATCAAGCTCCATACAATTGTCTCCACATCCCCTTTAATTTATCCCAGTGTGCTGTACAAATATTATTTCTATAGATTTATGACGTGAAAAAAAGATTGAGAACCACTGCTTTAACCTTTAGATCAGGAGTTTTTATTTATGGGGATCCAAATCCTTGACGTTGGTGTTGTAGGCACCACATTCTACCAACTGAGCTAACTGTCCAGCCTAAATCAGGATTCTTAACATGGGGTCCCTTGATAGATTTTAGTGGATATGTGAAATATGTAAGTGCATCTTTCTAGAGAGAAGGTCAATAGTTTTCATCAGGTTTTCAAAGCTTAAGAACCAGCTAATCTTAGGGATTTCAAGTTGCCCTGTAATTTCACCCTCAAAGAAATAGTGATATAAGTTAAGGATTAAATGGACTCCAATGGTACAACCAGGCCTCCAGCATCACAGGTGGGAAGAATAAAAGTGCTATAAATAGAACTAGGTGGACTTTTATCTTTTTGGTTCCCTCTTTTGGGAATCCTGCTCTTGGCCTCTCTCTTTTCAAATTCAGCTAGCATAGTAAAAGGATCTTAAGATCTTCACTCTACTAGAAGTAGATACTTCCTCTCTCAGATCACCAGAAGACCAAGCAGGAACCAGGGTGGAGCCTAGGAAAGAGTTGGTATAAATGCAGCAGACATCATAGATTTCAAATGCTTACATGTAATCCAGCTCAGTTCACAGAGTGGCTATATTGGGATCTGCAACCAAAGCCTGAAAGACAATATCATACAGAGTACCTTTGTCCAGACCTTCTTCTCTGTGTTTCCATAGAGCTTTGTACATATCTAGACTTCTCCTATATATCCATGTATGTCCTTTGGGGCCTAGCAGAGGTGATGGAAGCCACAGTACCTGTAAATTATACTGTAATTATTTGTTGATGTGTTTTCCCTTGCTAACAGGCTATGAGCCCCGGAGAGGTAGATAAACATTTATTTCATTCTCAAAACAGTGTCTAGTATACAATACACACTCAATAAGTATTTTCTCAATTAATGGTAAATAAATTAATGAACATGCACCAATAATTTCCAAATCTTAGTTTCCTTAAGAAGGTAATATACTTGGAAGAGATATTTCCCCTGCAAATTAATAAATTAACTTCCTGATGCAAACAAACAATGTAAATTTGGGTACCTTATAATCCAGTTTTGACCAGGATTTTATCACCGTAGATATGCTGAACAAAAATGTTCTATACTTACCTACAGATGAGATGTGTCTTGACCACTTATCTACTTCTCCTACTATTAAGACATGATTCATGTCTTTTTGTTCTTTTTAATCTCTTTTTTTCTTGCAGCTATTTTCTGTACATGGTGTACACCCAACAAAAGCTGACTGAACTTGGGATAATAGAGAATAAGAAAGTTATACTCATTACATAAAGGGCTCTACTGTCTATACTGCACTTTACCACACGTTATCTCAAGAATCCTGTGAGTTAGGGTTCCATTGTAGAGCTGAAGGAACTTAAGCTCAAAAAGTTCAAGCTATTTGCATAAGGTCTTACAGAGCTGGAACTAGGAACCAGGTCTTCTGACTCCTATGGTAGTGCTCTTTCTCTCCGTAAATTAATGGAATTAAGCCTCTCCCAAAATAATTTCTTAAGAGTATTTTATTATTCAGAAGTAGATAATCAGTATTGCCGTCCCTACATCAGTAAGAGAATCAACATACAAGTACGTTATTAAGACCTATGGATTTGAATAATACTTTTTCTAGAATACTTTGGTTTACAAACCACTATATTTCATTTGAGTTCATTCAGCTTTCAGCTGTGTATATTCCTTGGCTGTGTATATAGCTTCCTGTTTGGTCTCTCAGGCATTGGTTCAAAGTTCTTACTTCTGAACCTTGCCTTCTCTTTTCCTGTTTACTACGTAGCTCTGGGAAAAGCACAGACTGTTTAATCTGTGAACCATACATCTTTGTTTAATTTTGTCTCGCAGGCACTCTTGATCACCACCAGGGGGCAAAAGCCTACCAACCGGTTTCTCTGCAATACACTCTACATAGGTCTGTACAGTACAGGGACCCTCAGTGTCTGATTCTCGATGGAACCTCCCTGCTAATTATTTCAACCACAGGGCCCCACGGAGAGGACAAAGGCTCAGCACAGAGGGCTCTTGTGGCACTTAACCGTACAGCAGCCGGAAAGAGCTCATGACAGCCCTGTCAGTTTAAAAGGAGCAATGAGATCCAAGAATGTTTGAGTGACAAACAGGAGGAGGTGGGCTTTAATAATTGCAAAATCCTGAGTGTGTTTTCTACGGCTTTGATACATATGGTGGAATTTACCAGCTCATCAACTCAAATTAAGAAATAGCTTTGTCAACTCTCTTTCTTTGTGTACATAAGCAATGTATGTGCATTGTACCATTTTTTTCCTTTTTAATCTTGATTTTTCCATTACATTCTTGGCTTATGTTCTGCTGTTTATCTTTTTAGAAAATTATTCCTTTAAAATGTTTTAATCTACATTTTCACATATGTCTATGAAATAATGAAATCTAGAGACGAAAAACCCCTCAACGAACAAATTCTGTTTAATTAGAGAATTTCTTCACAGCAGGAAGCAGGTGGGGGGTGAGTAGCAGGTTGGACCCTTACAACTCTGTGCGCCCGGCTTTCTCGGCCTCCCCGGCTCACTCAGCCTCTCCGCCTCAGGAATAATGAATGAGTCTTTAGATAGGTAACAGAGGAAGCATGAGGGTACCACGAAGCTTCCCAGCGTATAAAACTGAAAATCGTTCTCTCAAAAAGTCTCATCATTAAACACGGACAGAAGGGCGGGAACTCGCAGAACAAGCCCGGGAGAGCCGGGTCAAAGAGGGGTAAACTGATCTCCTGGTCGAGCCCAGTCCTATCCATGCCCAGCGAAAGTGTTTGAAACCCCGCGGAGCCCCTTCCCACCAGAAAACGTGTTTGCCTCAGGATTTTCACCTCAGTTTCTTTTCCCTAAGGTTGGTTAAGCTGTGTGCCCCACCTCATAAAATGGTTCTCTCAAGAGTGAAGACTCCGGCGGCCCCCCGCCCTGGGACCCCACACCCAGTAGGCTCCCTCGGACCCCTTCCCCGACCCCACTGTCCAGCACCCGGCAAGGACAAACTGCGCGATTCCAGCGATCAGGAGGCAGCCCGGCAGGGGGCGGCGACCCGAGGCGTACGCACTCGCCGGCTTCCGGCAACTCAAGGGTTACGCCGAGGCGGCGGCGCGCGCCGAGGGGAGAGGCGGTTGCTGACAGGTGGCGCCTGCGCACTGGTAGCGCTCATTGTGCCCCGCAGCTGCCGAACCGCCCGCCCGCCCGCTTGCCGCCCGTTCGGCGCGTCAGTCTGCGAGAGTCCGGTGGTGGGTGCGGAGCCAGCGGCCGTTCCTGCGGCCTCCTCCTCCTCCCCGTTCCCCTCACCCCGACCCCGCACCCCTTTCCCCATTCCGGCTCCGTCACCCTCCCGCCCCCCACACTCGGGACAAGAATGCCCTGCCCGGAACAACCCAGCAGCGCCTAGATGGCTTTGGTCACGGTCCAGCGGTCGCCTACCCCCAGCACCACCTCCAGCCCCTGCGCTTCGGTGAGTCCCCTCTCGACTGCCGCTCCGCTTGCTTCTGTCACTGCGGCTCCGCTTTGCCTCAGCGGGTCCCGCCGAACGCCACTGCGCACGCGCCACGCCGCTTCCCAGGCCTTGGCACTCGCCTGCCGCGAACCCCTCACACCCCCATCTTAGAGACGAGTAGCAGGAACTACAAGACGTTGATTTTTTTGCCCCCATCACCCTGAGCACCTGGCTCCTTACAGTCTTCACCCTGAAATCCCCTGTGGCATGCCTTCCCATGGCTTGAGCACTTCCTTTCGGGAATGAGTCATTCTTGCTGTTTTCACCCTCCCCCTTCTTTTACCCTCTGTTGCTCTGGTGCAGGGAGGGGACCGTGAGACTCCTGCGTTTCCCCTTACCCACACCCACATCGCCTTACCCACACCATTTCAAGGACTCGTTCGGAATTTGCACACAGCACACCCTTCTTCGGACTCGCTGGGGTGTGTGCCTTCTTCCCCCTAGTCACTCGCTGTCTTTCTTGTGCTTTGTACCGTTCAGGCTTCTTTGGACTGCTGAACAGTAGTTACTCCTTGGTTTCTTTCCTCCCCCAAAGGGTGGCAGTGGTCTCTTCTGTTTCTTGGACCTCTTATCTTTTCCTTTTCGACGCCCCGAAGCATCTGGTGCTGCTTGATGACCAGTACCAATTTATTTCCACCTTACAGAAATTTTTGCCTTGCACTTATTGATCATGATCGTTCTCGTTCTTGGGTC